TACTGATAAATATCAATTAAAATACAATAAAGAACATTTAGATCCAAAAGCTTTTCGTGTTTATTGTTCCAATAATAATTTAACTCCTTATAAGTATGATTTGGATGGAGATCAAATAGATGATTATATTGGAGTAGACCCAGGAAATAATATTAAAGCTTTTAATGAATTTTATGTTTCAAAACCAGGTAATTCACAAAGACCATACCAAAAGAAATATTATGATCAATACAATAAATATCAAAGAAAAGAAGTTCCTTATTTAAATTATCTAGGATTATTACCATTAGATGATAATGTTGAAGGATATGCAAGAGTTGGTAAAGGTAGTGGATTTTCAAAATCACTTAATACTGTAGATTATAAAATTAGAGAATATTTATCTAAAATTTTAAATCCTGAATATATTTCATTAGGTAGTCAAGTAATTAGAAATGTAATTAATTCAATACTTTTTGGAGAAAATATATTATCACCAGTATTTAAAGTAAAATTAAATTTCATAAAAGCTGATAATTGGTATAAAAAAATTACTGATCAATTACTGCCTCCATTATTAAGTGGAATTATTAATAGTGAAATTAATACAGAAATATTTAAAAAAATAATGAAAGGTATTTCATCAGCTTTTGTTGGAGGTTATAAAGAATATGAACAATTGATAAATAATTTAAAATCTAATATTCCAAATGTCAACACAATTAAACCAATGAGTGAAGAAGATTTAAATCAAATTTATACAGATATTATGAATAAGAAAAAGAACAGTATTCTTATTTCAGAAATGAAAAAATCATCAAAAGAAATTAATTCAACAGAAGATATTGCAGAACTTAGATCAAAAGCACAATATAAACTTGATAAATTAGTAACTAAAGAAGCGTTAAAAGCTGGTATCACAATTAAATAAATTATATAAATATATGTTTGTTTATTTTTTGTTCTATAAAATGAGAAAATTATACATGAATTTACATAATAATAATTGCAAAGTAATAAATACATATCAATTTGAAGTTGAATTACCAATTGAATTTGTTTGTTCTACTAATAATAAATGTATTAATACTATTGCTACTAGATTCTATAATTCATCAGGTCAGATTGATTGTGGAAATATTTTAAGAAGTGATTTGAATTCTAGTAATGATTATCCTTCACAAGATGGATTTATAATTTTTGCTAACAGTGATAATCAAAAATCATTTGAAATCAAAGACAATAAACGAAAAATAAAAATATGGTTTACTGATTACAAAAATAATATAATCAATATTGATTCAGATTATTATTTCATTGTTCAGTTACAGTTAATGTTTTAACTTGAGAACCGTAGGTTCGTAGAATACTAACTTGAGAATTAGTGTTTTAATTTACCATAAATCGTTTCTAGAATTATAATAATTATAAACAGTACTTGATTCAAAAATATCATAAATTGTAGTTGTAGTAGTTCTTCCTAATGAATTAATAATATATGTTTTATAATCTGTAAAATTAGATACAGCTTTAGATGACATATATATTTTTAGTGAATAATCTTGACATATTTCTATAATAGATGATGTATTTGTTATTTGTAAATTTGGTTCTATTAGATATATTCCATTATTATATATAGTTATATTACTCCACATTAAATTTGGATTACTTCCTGAATAATTAATACCAGGATAAAATAAATTATTAAGATTACAATATAAATAAACACATATTGGTTTAGTTGTTATTGATGATAAATTACTATTTGATGTAAAATTCTTTGGTAAATATAAACTGAAATAATTAAAACAATAATATCCATCACCCCATAAATAACCAACTGTATCTGGTATTATTATTATTGGATGCTCATTTATATTAAATAGATTTTGTACTGTTGTATATATTTTTCCATTCAACATACTTCCACCACTAACTTGTTCAATAACTTTATAAATTTCATTATTAATAATTACATATGGAACTACTTTTACTATTCTATTTGTTGTTAAGAATTCTGTAACATTA